TGTGATATTACACAGGCGTATAATGGGGTTGACTGCATACTTGTCTAATTAGTGAAGCTATTAAAATCTCTATAATTTAGATTCAAGGGGGACAATCCTATATAAATGCACACATATGCTCCTGATTGGATTTTATGAACCCATTCTTCTGGATTCTGAAAGGACATTGCCCTGCTGTGTACATGTGGCTGCCAAACCTGAGTGACCTTCCCCCCTGGTCCTGCCCTGGCCCCCTGTCTGGTGTACTCTGTTACTGTAATAAGCAGTTAGGTCAGATAAGGCGATGGTTGATGGGATCCTCTGTGTTGGAGCCGAATTATAATGCCCCAGTCAAAGGATTTAATCTAAACCAAATGTTTTTGTATTCAAAAAAACTCCAGGATCAGAGAAAATAGAAGTTTTACATTTGTTCAAGTTCAAACAGAGAGCAGAGAGAGAGAGATTCCAGAAGCTCTTTGGAGAGTGGTAGGGGGGAAATGTTGTTTCTTTTGAATTCAATCAAAGAAACAAGTAGAGTGTATTTTTATTCACCTTCTCCTTTTTAACCACAGAGTTAATCTTGCTAATGCTAAATTGAACTTGATATAACAAGTACTGCTCAATAAATAAATACCTCAGGTAGGAATGAAAGGACAATGGTTAACAAAGGGGTTTAGTGTTTGTGTTTTAGCACTGGGCTTTACTCTGCCTCTTCAGTCATGAGATTTAAGGCAAGTTACTTATGCAAGTTCCTCAGTTTCCAGACCTGCAAAATGGAAAGGATTCAACAGATCTGTGCACCAAAAGAACAAACTTAGTGCCTGTTATGTAGATGGTCACTTCCTAGCTCATCTTCATTGGCTCTAACATCTCTGATCCTACCTACTGGACAATGCTTCCCTTCCTGACAACCCTGGTGGTGATAGCAGAAGTGACAGCAGAGATGACGATGATCTGTGGAAGCGCTAAGAGAGAGAAAATAAACTCAGTTACATTTGTAGATGTAAAATAATAACTGTGTATTAAATAAAGTAAGAAAGTGGTTTATTCCAAGCCAAATATGAATGGATATGGCCCAGGTTTATTCCAAGCCAAATATGAATGGCCATGGCCCAGGACTCACTTCCCAGAAGGAGACATCCTGTGGTGGAAGAGGTTACTGGAACTCCTGTAGCTACCGACCAAAAAAAGTCATAAATCAATACATTTGATAAATACATTGTCAGGGAAATTAGTTAGGCTACAGAAGAGTGGGAAAATCTTTTCTTTGGGTTTCAGGTGTTTTCTCACAGCATTCTTAGCTTTAGGGTTGGTGGAGGGTGGAAATCTGCTAAACTTAGAATACATTCCAAGGGTTTTGCCTAATAGTGCAAAGCTATTAGATCAGATACGAAGATTGAAAGTGAATGGTTATTAAAAGGCTTAAGATAGACCAAGATATCTTTGGCCTTTTGTTTGTTTGTTTGTTTGTTTTTTGAACTGGAGATTGAACCCAGAGACTCTTTGCCACTGAGCTGCATCCTCAACCCCTTTTATTTTTTAGTTTGATACAGGGTCTCACTAAGCTACTTAGGGCCTCACTAAGTTGCTGAGGTTAGCTTTGAACTTGCAATCCTCCTGCCTTGTCCTCCAAGACACTGGGATTACAGTTGTGCATCAACATTCTTATCTCTCCACAATCACAGTGTTCTACTCAGCCAAGTTCAGTCTGTATGATCTCTCAGAGAACTTTAGTTCAACACTTTTGGAGACATCTCAATATTTGTTACACTTTGTCTTTGTCACAAGCCAAGAAGATAGCTACCGATTGACAGTCTTTCTAAGTCACAGATTATTTGCCAGTCTATATTTAGGACACAGATAGGACAGGCTAGCTTCCCAAGGTCACACAGTTCGATGAGTATAGCAGAGATAATTCCTTATTTATTAACTCCAAGTCTATGGCCATTTTCTCCAAAATACATTGTCAGGGAACTAACAGTGCTTCCAAAGAGGCAAGTTATGCTACTGTCTGGTTTGCCACCACAGCCAAGCACACAGAGCACTGCCGCACTTCACAGGAATTCCCCAAGTTTGCTACATGAACAAACGATGCCACTTTCCCCTGGGCTCCGGGTAATCCGTGAGACTGAAAATTGGGGACAGAAAAAGAAAGATATATGGAGTCTCAAAAATGCTCATAAGACATTAGAACACAGGAAATGCCCATGAGCCACTGGAATGCAAAACCAGCTACTCCTGAGTAACCCAGCCCTTGTCCTGGGGCCCTTGTACTTGGTAGGGCCCCTGCCTGCAAAAGGTTGCATTTGTCCATGTGAGGGCGCTGCACAACTGCAGGGCCAAAATTGTCACTGCCTGACTTCACCTCTAGTCCAGCCCCTAGCTACTGTCCCTTCATAAATGCAGTGCCCTGGCCACTGTGTCCATGCTTCTCGCACTCAAAATGACCCACACTCTCCCTTGAATGTGTGTTTACATTCTCTTTTCAATGTGTTTCTGCTTTCCTAAGTAAATCGGAGCCTCTAACTGACTTGTCCTTAAATTCATTTATATAATGGTTGTGAAGAACCCCATTGGTCCTGAGTTGAGGTCCTCACACCATCGCCAGTGACACTGCTTCTCAAATTCTTGAGGAAACCACAGTCTTATAAACATATTCTATTGGCACCTAATATATATATATATATATATATATATATATATATATATATACACACACACACACACACACACACACACACATACATATATGGGGTAATGTGTGTGTGTGTGTGTGTGTAGTATACAATGTCAACTTTTCCCCTTCCTTGTCAATAATCAGAAGGCTCCCTTTTCCCTAACTAAAGTGAGAATCCTATAACTTCCCCACCAGCCCCAAGGAAGCTCTGATAAGTCTTAGGTTGTTCACATAAGAAAACTCATGAGTTTGATGCATGAAAGCCTAGGGTGGGCTGAACCCTCACTTCTCTTGGCTGAACACACTCCTTCTTTTCAGCATGAAAATTCTTATAAAAAATAAAATTCCTTATTTTGAATTCTGTCTCTGATCTCTATTGGCCACTAAGACAACAGTACTTCTTTTGTATCTGCTCGAGACCTGTAGGAGACAGATCATGCCACCCCAAAATATGCCTCTAGGCAAAGAGTTATTTGGAGCTGATCATTTTGAGAAACTGCAGACGCAGGGGAACTTCTGAAAACAGGGCAGAATTTATCCTTTTATAAGGGAAATTTGTGTCTATAAAGGAAACTTCTATTTGTAAGGGTATTTCCTTCTTTGTATCAGGAAGAGACGTATGATTGTAAATCACCAGGGATCAGCAATGGAGGAGTCATGATTTAAACTCCCAAACCACCCCTACCTGAGTTGGCCATGCTTTTCCTGGTCTTCTCCTTTTTTTTTTTTTTGCTTAACCACTGAGTCACATCCCCAGCCCTTTTTAGTTTTTATTTTGAGACAGGGTCTCACTAAGTTGCTTAGGGCTTGCTAAATTGCTAAGACTGGCCTTGAACTTGTGGTCCTCCGCCTCAGCTTTCTGAGCTGCTGGGATTACAGGTGTGAGTTACTGCACCCAACTATTTTCACTTACATCTTTCTTTCTTTATTTCAGTTGAAGATGAGATTTAAGCCTGAAATCTAGGCCACCTCTTGAAGAATTACTCATTTCTTAGTTGTCTCTCATGTATACATGAGGAATACATGCGAATAAGCTTCTGTTTATCTGTCTGCTTTTTGTTGCATGTATCTAACCCAGAGGATGGAAAGAAAATTATTTTTCGTCCCCCTACAGTACATATGCCTACTTCCTTTCTAAGAAAGGAGGGAAGGAAGGAAGGAAGGAAGGAAGGAAGGAAGGAAGGAAGGAAGGAAGGAAGGAGCCAGTTGCGTGACACACGCCTGTCATCCCAGCTGCTCAGGAAGCTGAAGTGGGAAGATCACAAATTTAAGTCCAGCTCAGGCAACTTAGCAAGACTGTTCCTCAAAACAAAATCAAAGGAGATGGGGATGTAGCTCTGTGGTAGAACACTTACTTAGCATGTGTGAGCTCCTGGGTTTGATCCTCAACACCACAAAGAAAAAGGAAATGTGTTTTTCCATGCTTTATCTCATCTGATGCTCAAAACAACTATTGGGGGCTGAAAGGAAACATTACTATTCTCATTTCACAGATGAGAAAATAGGTATGGATCATGGGTACTAAAAAGCACAGCAAGAGTTGAAATGTAGCTCTTCATTTGATAGTTAACAAAAAATTTAATGAGCACCTACTGTGTTCCAGGCACCTTGCTGGGCTCTGGGAACAAAGCAGAGAATAGACAGAGCAGCCTTGCAGGCCATCTTCTGGATCCTAGTCTAGTGCTCTTAACTAATGTGAGAACTCTATCCAGTGACAGTGGCATTAACTCATAATCCAATACATTTTTTTTCATATAAAAATTTAATGGTTTTTAGAGGTTTCTAAAGAATGCCTTAAAAGGAGTTGGAAGGCACTTTGTACATGATTTTTGACTAAGAGTACAATAAACTTTAACCAAATTAGCTGAATTACAATTGTAACATGACTTGGAACAAAATGATCAAAAAGTTATCCAAATGTCTGCTGATACTACCATCTTGAATAAAAGGTAAGTGTGCTAAAAGAGCAGGAGTGGAGTTAGCTGGATTCCAACTCAAGAGGCCCATCTTTCTATAGTGAGATAGCTATGATTTCCACGCAGCCTCCATGCCAACTCCGGATGTCCTCACCCAGTCTTCCCTGAGTTCCCTGCAGGCCTGTGGGGTTCCCTACTGTTCTCCTAACAGACAAAAGGAAAACAGCATGTATTCCTTCTGCCTCTAAGAGTAGCAAGTAAAATGGCTTTGTGATGGTGAGAAATGTCAACTTAATTAGCATTTTTCCTTCCAGGTAATGAGGGTTTTCTCCAAAGAGTGCCCCAAATTAACAACACTGTTGGAGGAAGTTTGTATTTCTCTCTCTTTCCATTTAAGATTCTTAGATGAAAAAAAAATTGCCCAAAGATGCTAAGAAACTTTCATGATTTATTGTTTTTTCAATATAACAAAATAATAGATTATAACAGCCAAAGAATCTGCTTTATCCAATGTGTATTTTGATGTTGTCCATTTGAGAGGCTTCGATCTTATGTCCCTCAAACATTTTTTTAAGATTATGGAAATAAGAAATATATTTTTAAAATATGAAGACTTCTTTATTTGGAAAGTTTACTGACATTTTTCAGGTAACTTCTGTGAGCTCCATGAAATGGTGTTCAAAAACAGCAAGAGTTTGTGGAAGGTACATTTTGTGAGAATGTGGTTTTCCAAAGGATTCTCAAAAGAAGGTATCAATCAAAGCAATTTGAGAACTGCTTCATAATAATCTGCTGATGTTTTAAATGCTGTCAACTCATTTAAAAGTAATTCCACGTAATTTTGTATGTTTTTTCAAACTAGGTGTTTAAAACCAAAACATAGAGTCATCAGATAGATTTTAAGAATATAAGATGCCTAATCTATGCCATGACATTTATTTCATTTGCACAAAGCAGAGAGGATTATTCAGCTCTAACTTCACTTAACTCATCTGTGAGGACTGCAGTTCCTCCTGTACAGCTGGAGGAAGGGAATTCTCCAAAGCAGGCCCTCCATTGCCCTTGCACTGCTGTTATTTCAGTCTGAGGCCTGGCATGAGGGTCGAAGATGACAACCTTTGTCTTTCCATAATGCTGCTATGGAGTGGGACTTAGGGCTTTGTCAAGGAGGACTTGTGGGTAGAGCCCTGCCATGAATAAATAAAGCCCAGAGTCTCTGCTCTCTAGGGGACAAAAAACTTACTTTACATATATACAATTTATTCATTTTTTTTTAAAAAGGCTACTCTATGGATGAAAAAAACTAAAGAATATATATAGGATTTCTCTATTAACACAGTCTCTAAGGCTAACACGGGTCCTGATTATCATATGTCTTCCTATGAATTAAAGGATCTATTGTGGCAGATTTGCCAATGTTGGTAATTCTTCAAATATATGCCCATGAAAAATCCAGTTATTTTGTAGGTAGATTTTAGGATTACATTTTTAAAATAATCTATGAAGTTTTCATTTTTAGAAGTGAATTTGCCTAATTTCAGAGAGTCTCCAGCAATCTAAATAACTGGCCTTTTTGTCACAGTCTTCTATTTACAGGTAGGTGATGAAAGTTTTCTTTCCTATAAGGTAGAGAGAGAAAAAAATTGTATTTATATATACACACACACAAACATGCACATACCTATATACATGTATTTATATACACACACACATACATATATATGAAGTTCAATAGATGCTCCTATTTAAAACAATATCAGAATAGGTGCATGAGAGCTTGATAAGGTTTGTAAAATTTATAGAAGCGTCCTGCTCTTCAAGGCCTGATGTGAGTTATGAAATCTAATTTTGTTTTCATAGCTCTGTGATAAAATTTTATCAATGTTATAAAAGGGGTCTTTACTAAGACTGACCGGAAATCTGAACTATCTGGCCAGGCAATAAAAACACATTCCTTTGCTGCAAAGTGTCAGACAAGCAAGGTTTAACTGAAATTGATCGATAAGTCTTCCTTTTACAGTTGAGTGCATTCACTTTGCCTCATAGGATAATAGTTTTCTTTTTAATGGTTTTTCCATTAATATCAGACTTCAGTGTTCGTAAGGAACAAGAAAGACATAAAAGAGAGAGGGAGAGAGAGACATGCCATCAGGAAAGAATGTTGTGATCTTTAATGGTAGGGCACTTGTGCTCAGACAAAGTGCTTGTGAGGGTGAGGTATGGAATTTCTGTTACTCACTGTGTCCCCTGAAACCTCACATGCTGACGTCTAATCTCAGCACCTCAGAATGTGATCTTATTTGGAAATAGGATCATTGCAGATGTAATTAGTTGAGGTCACACTAGAGTGGAGTGGGCCTCTAATCCAATATGACCAGTGTCCTGATAAAAATGAGAAAATCTGGACGAGGCACACAGGGAGAATGCCAAATTAAGATGAAAACAGAGATCAGGGCGATGTTTCTACAAGCCAAGAAATATCAAAGATTGACAGCTATTTTAGTCTGTTCTGGCTGCTAAATAAAATACATTAGACTGGGTGGCTTATAATCAACAGAAACTTAATTTCCCACAATTTGGGAACTGGGAAGTCCCTAATCAAGGTGCCGGCAGATTCTGTGTCTGGTAAGGGCCTGCTTCCTAATTCACAAATGGTGGCTTGCTACATCTTTAGGTAGTGGAAAGGCAACGGCACTCTCTGGGGCCTCTTTTATGAGGACACTAACCTTCTTTGTAAGAGCTCTGCCCTCATGATATAAACCACCTCCTGATACTACCATCACATTTGGTGATCGCTTTTGTTTCAACATATGAACTGGGGAGAGGGACATAAACATCCAGACCATAGTGCCAGCCACCCATCAGTAGCCAGGGAGCAGCATGGGACAGATTCTTCTTCATAGCACTCACAAGAAACCAACCCTGCTGACACCTTGCCCTTGGACTTCTGGTCTCCAGAACTGTGAGATAATACATTTCTGCTATTTAAGCCATCAATTTTATGGTACTTTGTTATGGTAGTTGCTATGACTGTGTCGTCTGAAATTCATGTGTTGGATACAATTCACAGTAGTGTTAATAGGGGAGCTTTTGGGGAGGTATTTAGGTCATGAGCTTCTACCTTCATAAATATTTTAAAGCTGCTATAAAAAGGGCTTATGTGAGGGAAGTTGCTTTCTCTGCCCTTCCACATTTCACTATGTCTGGGCAGAGTAAAAACGGCCCTCACCAGATACTGGTGCCTTGATCTTGATCTTGTACTTTCCTGCCTCCAAAATGGAGAGAAAAACCTTCTATTCCTTATATTTAGCCTCCAGTACTCTGTTCTAGCAGTTCAAAACTGACAAACACAGCAACCCTAGGAAATTAATGCATGGATAAATACAGCACGGCTGGGGGTGGGGGTGGGTGGGAGGTGAGACCCCTGCTGGTTTATTATGTTCTGATGAGAGGATTTCCCTCATGCTCAGGGTAGTGTGCTGCCCATCTTAGACTGGGCATCAAAGTATAGCACACCTTGCCAAATTTATTTGTCATCAAGGAAATTATCCAAGTAGGCAGCAACCAAACCATAAAATATGTCCATAAAGGCATCCGGTGAACATACAAATTACCAATAACAATATTTGACATTTATTTTTTTTTTAATATTTGACATTTCTATAGCGTTAAAAACAAAAATGGTTGGTATAATGAAAAAAGGACAGGCTTTGGGGTTAGGCTGGGTACAAATACCAGCTCTGCAACTTATTGGCTGTGGCTCTGGGCAAGATAATTCACTCCTCCAAACCTCAGCTTCTACTTCATAGCATGGTTATAAATGAGACAACAATATAAAAGGTCCAGCTTAGTTCCTGCCTGCACAGGTAGATATTCTAGATGTGTGAGTGCCCTTCTTCTTCCATTTTGGTGATCTCCTTTGACTTTTCTACCAAGAGACTTTCTCAAGAGTCCAAGAGGCAAGAGTCAAGGCAAACCTTTAATTCCAAGTTCAGGGATCTTTCTTTTTTCTTTTTGGTTATAGACGGACACAATACCTTTATTTTATTTATTTTTTTATGTGGTACTAAGAATCAAACCCAGTGCCTCACATGTGCAAGTGCTCCACCAATGAGCCATAACCCCAGCCCCCAAGTTCAGGGATCTTTCTATCAGAGGAGTCACTTCAAGTTCTTGACTATCCCAAAGCTATGCCATGACTTCAGTAGGTCCCTCTGTTGAGATTCAGAATAGAGATGGCCCTAGAAGCAGATTGTAGTGAACATCTGTAGGAGGAGATGGACTTCAGGAACTAGCTGGGATCCTGGCTACATAATTCTTGTTGCCCAATCATATCTCACCACTGAGATATGAATCAGAATCAAACTTCCAAAGTTGAATTTCAGAGATTCATAATCTGTCCTTCTCAGTTTCTCAAAGTGACAGCAGCAGGAGGTCAGACTGGTTAGTATCCCTCAGCTAGTTAGCATCAAGTTGGTCTCATGAACCCCAGTACAATGTACCTTCCATTCAGTGAAGTGTCCCAAGTAACCATGATGTCAGCTCAGGAATGGAAGCACCAGAATAGATCCAAGTACATGTAAAATATTCTGAGAATTAGCCTTTGCCACTGAAGAGAAATGTGGCTTCAGTGGATTCAAGGTCCTTCTTAAGTCTGTAATTCTTAGAACAAGACAAAGTGAGGGTGAATTTCAAAATGGAAAGTGACTGAAATTTAGTAAAGAGGTGGGGGCACATCAGTACTTTTGCATATTTACTCTTTTGGGGGGGGTAGATTTTGCTCATCTGGGTTCCCTGCATGCAGCAGCTCCTAAAGGAGCAAGTGGCAGTTTCAGAGCAGATCAAGGGTGGGAGGAACAGTGACTCCTGTTTGGAAATCTCCCCAATTGGCTAACTCCCATTTACATGCTGTTTCTGGCAGGAGATCAGTCTGGGTCACCTCATCGCCAATGAGTAAATATGCTGAAAAATTATTACTATTTCAGACAAATGTTTAACTGTTCTCAGATTATCTATGACACCACAGGCCAAAGTCACAGCAATCTAACCTGGGAGTGAGTTTACTTTACCTTGTGATTTATGGAATGAGAATTCTGGGTGCTCTGTGGGACTAATTTAATACGAAACATTCAGATGCCTGTCGTATAATGCCATTCATCTTTCCTTAGCCTGCCTGCACCAGGGGGCATGTGGTTCAGAGAGCAGCCTCTCCCGTCTCAGCCACAAATCATCACGCTTATGAAAGAGAGTGACATGTCTTCCCTTCTAAGCCAGGCTGCCTGCAGCAAGGGTCTGTCTGGGCTCTGATGGGAGAAGCATTTCCTATTCTCAGGCCTCAGGAGTGTTTTGAAAGTAACAGTAGTTGAAGAAGAGAGCCTAAGCAACTGCACTTTGGTTTGACTTGAAGGAAATTTAGTTAGTTTATACTATTTCATCAACAAGGGCAGACTTGTTTTATGAGACAATGTGATATTCTATAGATTGATAAAATAATGCATGTGAGAAGTTCTGCAGAAAGCAAAATTGTGATTCAATATATTATTGACATTAAAACCCAGATACTTCAGTGCATGCTAAAACAAAACAAAGCATTTTTTTTAAAGAGAGAGAGAATTTCTTAATATTTTGTTTTGTTTTGTTTTTCGGCAGACACAACATCTTTGTTTGTATGTGGTGCTGAGGATCGAACCCGGGCCACACGCATGCCAGGTGAGCGCGCTACCACTTGAGCCACATCCCCAGCCCCAAAACAAAGCATTTTTAACCAACAAGTTACCCTAAATTTCATATTCATTCAACAAATGTTCATGAATGCCTGCTATATAATAAGGAATATTATATGGCAGGCCCTAGGAATACAAGTCTGAACAGACCTGGTCTTGCTTTCAAAGGTTTTTCAAGTCATGGAGAAAGAGAGAGAGAGAGAGAGAGAGAGAGAGAGAGAGAGAGAGAGAGAGAGAGAGAGAGAGAGAGAGTCCACCTGGGTAACTGCTACAATTAAGTTCAGAATTTGGTTCAAGGGAAGACCATGGAAGAGAGTTTCCATCAGTCAGGTGTGTCGTGTGGTCAGGGACTATTTCCTGAGAAAGTCACAGAAGAAGAATGTGCAAAGGTATGGAAATAAGAGAAGGCACACACTCAGTGGGGGAGTTTAGGAGTGCAGAGCCTTGTGCACAGAAGACTGAGAACCAAGACTCCAGAGCCAAGGAGCACCATATTCCAAAGGGCTTTGGGCAACATTTGGAGGAATTTGTTCTTCATTTTCATGAAGGACAGGAGGCTACTGAGGGGTTTTAAGTAAGAGAGTGATATGATAGTATTTCCATTCTAGAAAGATCACTCTGGGTACCACTTTGATAAAGAACTGGAGAGGAGAAAGGGGGGGCGGGCAGGATATGTGTAATAACTAGTTAGAAAACAATGACTTTATCCAAGGAGCAATGACAATGTTTGAAGTAAGATGATGTAAGCAGGCTGAGGAAAGAGGATCACAAGTGTGAGGCTAGTCTGGGCAAATTCGCAAGACCCTGTCTTAAAATAAAAATAAAAGTGGCTGAGAATGTAGCTCAGTGATAAAGCACCCCTGGGCTCAATCCTCAGTATTTGGGAGAAAAAAAAA